GAAAAAGATGTATTCGCTAAATTACGTTTAATTAATTATTACCTTGACACTTGGGATATGTAAATAAGGGCAAATTTTGAAAAAATAAAATTAATTCCTTCTTGATTATGTAAAAGGACACTTATTTTGGACCCAAAAAAAAAAAAAACCACAAGATCACTTATTATGGACCGGAGAGAGTACTAATTAAGATTCATATCTAAAAAATAAATGCATTTAATGATTGAGATCTAAATGATTAAGATTCAGACTTTCATTAAGTGCAAACAAATGAAGGGGTCAAATGGTTTTTTGACCCATTACAAACTTGTTTTTCGATTATGACTCCATCTCTTTTTCTTTTTTATTTATACGTGAGATATTTTATTTTTACACATAAAAGATTTATCTTCTACATATAAGAAATCTAAAAATATATTTTCTTAATTTCAATATTGTAAAAAGCCATGAAGGCCTATTTTCCCCAAATGGGGCCTTAGCGAACAGCCATTAGATCATTTTGACATCACCCAACGGCCAATACTGAGGGGTCAAAATTTACGCCCCGTTAAACTTGGAATTTTTTAGCTTATTTAATCATGTATATTAATTAAGGTAAATGACAGTGAACACCCTAATTACAATACAACTCGTTTTGAATAGTAATATCTTCATATGACAAGTTTGCTAAGTGTTTAGTTCTGAAAAACATGAGGTCTATCTGTAATTAAAGATATTAATACATATTTTAAAGATATTAAATTAAAATTACAAATAAAAAGTTCATCTGTATTTTATGAAATATAAGAAAGTAAAGAAACATTTCTGTTGAACTTTTTCTTATTAACACCTTTGCTTAAAAATAAAATAATTCTTTTTGAAATACATATTTTTCATAACTATCAAATAGGACATGACCATAAATTATTTAGTACTAGTATATTATAGCAAACACCATAATAACTTTTAAAACTTACTGCATATTAAAATATATAGTTGTTTCTCAGTAAAAAATTAGTTTTATTGTTTCCTTTTCCGCTCATGAAAAATTCTATGTGTAGGATCTCCCTTATAAAAGAGGTTAAAATGTTTGATTAAGAAAAATATGAATAACAATTTTATATTTATGCATGATTTTCTTGATGTAAAAACTGTAGGCGGTTGATTTTAAAATACAATGGTGTATCTTAAGTTTAGTCATATTAGATGAGTGTTAGAGCAATTCAACCGATCAACTAAAACTACAATTATTTCTAGTTAATATTTAGGGAACAATTAACAAATTTATGATTGCTTATTTCTCCAAAGTAAATGATTAATTTTCATCAACCATTTTAATATTTAGAAACAATATTATTATCGAACCCAAAGGTACATATAACCGTTGCTCAGAACGGTAATCTAAGTTAAACCACAAAGGGTAGAAATCGGAAAAATGACTCTTGGCAACATGAGATGATGCAAAAGAACGATAATGTTCATAGGTTTATTATAGTTGACCTTTAAAAATTGTAAATAAAACAGAAATTGAAAGAAATTTGAAATGGATAACCTAAATTAGATGTCATATGCTCTATTATTGTCGTTCCAAAATGTTTTTATATTTAATTGACTGGAAATTTTTATTACAACGTGCATTAATCTAAAGGTATCTCCAGTCCCCATGGTCCCACGCCAATCCGGGGCCCAAGTGCTTTTTACGTGTGTGAAGAGTGAACCTTTTTTCAGATTTCACATTACTAAGTTATACAAGAGTAAGCACTGAATATGGTGTATTAGTAATTGTAAGATTAATAATGCTGGAATTAACAATGTTAGAATTATTTTTTATTCATTATTTGATTTGGTGTATTAAAAATAACATGCATATGGGGTATATACATGTTTATTCATGTATTAAAATTTATGGTATTACTAATGACATAATTTGCTATGTATTAGTTATACATAGGATAATATCAAATAAGGTGTATAATTAATAAATGTATTAGTAATATTAATAAATGTATTAGTTATACATAGGTTGAAAAACATTACCAAATAAGAGATAACTGTCCATTTAAGATTTTAAGTCTTTAGCTTCTCAGAGTTATACCAAAAAGAAAGTAGAAAAAAAAAAAAGAAGAAAAGAATCAGCAACATGACATGATGCAAAGAACGATAATATTTAGGCAATATAAATAAGTTGCCACCTAACCTATGGCCCAAATCTCCCTTACACACTTTCTGCGGACGATAATCATATTACAAACACGCAACCTTTCTAAAATGTATTTAGTACACGCTTCTTTTGACCAGATCCTGTAAAAAGTTCATCCGTGTATTTCATGCGTTTGACTTTAGTTTATAAACTTGACCCACTTATTTTTAACCCTTTATATTATATTAACCAACCCAACCCGATACCTGACCCATCTGTTAAAAAGGGTTAAACCTAATTTACCCCAAATTAACTCTCATTTATCCATACATCTCTACGGAGCGCTAGTGAAGGCGATTCCGGCGACTATCTCAAGCGAGGATTTCATCTTGTATGGGAGGTGGATTTATGCGATTTTAAGTTAGTAATTTTCTTCTCCTTATATTACCCGTTTATTTTAGTAGTGGGTGGGTTGAACTAGGGTTTTTTCTAAATTTCTTCTATTTGCTTTAGGGTTTTCGGACTTTTTAAAAGGGGAATCTTTTGTCATTGTCGATATTACTGTGAAGTTGTCGTGTTGTTGCCTTTACAGAGAGTTTTTTATAAAAAAAGATTTACTTTGTGTTTGCAAACCGTGTGTAAAATTAGGGTTTAAGTGATTATTGTAATAGCATTGATTTGAACAATGTGATATGCTCTTGTCTTTGTCTTCACTTTTGTATTTCATCTGTATTTCTTTATTTTCAGTTGTTGCATGTGGCAGTCGATTTATTTGTCCCCTTATTTGTTTGCAGAAAAATATTTTTTTAAATTGATTACACTCAAGTGGTACCATGATGGGGTCTTAGTTCCTGGTAACTTTGCTAATTATGTAGGGGGTAGTCAAACATTGACTTTAGATATAGATATGGATTTACTATCTTTTATTGAACTGATGAACTACACTAAGTTATATGAATTTAAGAATGTGGCTTAGCTGTATATTTGTCCAATGGATAGGACAGATAAATTGATAAATATTCTCACAGACAAGGATATATTAGATATTTATAATAAATTGGAAGATGGAGATACCTTAGATATTTATGTGACTCATGTTGTCCCTTTAAATGTTGTTGACATAAATGAGGCTAGTAAAGGGGTTGGTGGGAGTAATAGTGGAGCTTTTAAGAGTACGGTAATCTTAGAAGAAGAAGATAGTGAACCTGAACTTGCACCTGCCCCTGCTCCTGCACCTGCTCCTGCTCCTGCACCTTCAAGAGAACAAGAGAGTGAAGTAGATAGTGAATCAGATGATGATGTGGGTGAGGATGACAATGAGAATGATTCAGATTTTGATAATCCTGATAGTGATGAGAGTGATGGAGTAGACTTACATGTTCCTGATGATAATGATTATGGATCTGATGTTCATGAAGAATTTGCAGAGTGTAGGAATGAACTGGGAAAATATAGGAGGAAAAGGAGTGAAAGGCCAAAAGATAGGGGTGATATTAACTTAGGTGATGCAGGAGTTGATATTGGTTTTTGATGAATTAAGAACTGGTAGCAAGGAAAATAGGTACACAGGCTTAGTAGGACAGATGAGCCTTATTTTGGGTCTTCTGATGCTGAAAGCTTTCCTTCAGATGCTGAAGATGAATTTGATGAAGAACATAAGGAGAAAATGGCTGCCAAGAGGAGGAAAATAACCCTGATATTTGATCCAACTGTCAACAAAATAACCTTGGAGTTGGGGCTGATTTCTTAGAGTGTTGATGATTTTAGGTTGGCTATTACTAAGTATGCAATTCAGAAAGGAGTTCAAATTGAAAAGTATATTAATGAACTTGGTAGGGTGAGGGTAAAATGCATGCACCCAAAATATCCATGGCTGTAAGAAAAGATGGTAGATCCATCAATTTTAAGGTAATAAAGTATTGTCCTATCTACAAGTGTTACAGAACAAATAAAAACAAGCTCTGCAACTCCAGATACCTTGCAAAGCATTACAGGGATAAGATTGTGTCTCAACCAAATATCAAAGTTTGGGAGCTGAAGAAACTCATTAAGGATGAAATGGACATGTATGTTAGTAGGTCTACTGTCCATAGAGCTAGAGCAAAAATTCTGAAGGAGATATTAGGTGATGTGCATGTTGAGTTCAAGAGACTCTATGATTATAGAGATATTCTGTTATAGACAAATCCAGGTACAACTTGTATTGTGAAGGTAGAAGATCAAGGTGAAGGAAAGATTGTCTTCAATTCATTTTATGTGTGCTTCTATGCTATGAAAAAAGGATGGTCTGAAGGCTGCAGAAGGATAATTGGCCTTGATGGATGCTTTTTGAAAGGCATTTGTAAGGGTCAACTACTTGTAGCAGTATCAAAGGATAGCAACAATCATATTTTCCCTATTGCTTGGGCCATTGTAGAGTGTGAGAACAGTTTTACTTGGACATGGTTTCTGAAATGTGTGACTCATGACTTAGAGCTTCAAGATGGAAGGGATCTCACTATCATGTATGATATGCAAAAGGTGATTTCATTACTGTCAATATTTATTTATTTTTATTTCTATTTTTATTGGTAACTAATATATTCTTCTTATGTTACAGGGATTGCTTAAAGCTGTATCAGAAGTATTGCCTGAATGTGAACATAGGTGGTGTGCCAGACATATATTAGAAAACTGGTCCAAAGATTGAAGAGGATTAGAGAGGAGAAACAACTTCTGGATGTGTGCTAGAGCATCATGTGTAGCAGAATTGAATTTCCACCTAGACAGCTTGAATATGCTTAGGAATGGGATGTGTAAGAACCTCTTGAGGTATAACAAGGAAACCTAGTGCAGAGCATACTTCAACTGTGATAGGAAATGTGATATAATTGACAACAATATGTGCGAGACCTTTAATGCTTGGATACTTGTTGCTAGACACAAGACAGACATGACAATGTTGGAGGAAATCAGAGTGAAGATGATGGAGAGAATAGAAAAGTTGAGGGAGTTTGCAGATACATGGATGTGTGATATATCCCCAATTGCTATAAAAGTATACCAGGATAACATGGCCCAATCTATTAGGTGTACAATCAAATGGAATGGTGAATATTGCTATGAGGTTGAGGATACCTCATTAAGAGTGATATTGAAGCACTGTGTGAATATGCAAACTCATACTTGTACCTGCATGTCATGGATGTTGAAGGGTATCCCTTGTGCTCATGCAATTGCTGCTATGCACTTCAAGAACATTGAGCCAATTAACTACATATCTCACTGGTACCACAAATTCACTTATCTGAAGGCATATTCAACATTTATCCAGCATGTGCCAAACATGCAGATGTGGCCAACATCTATCAATCCACCAATTGAACCCCCACCAATTAAAAAGATGTCTGACAGACCAAAGAAGAAGAGAAAAAGAGAAGAAACTGAACATCCTAAGTCTGGAAAGCTTTCAAGAAGGGGTATGAAAATGACATGTTCAAACCTGTGGTGGCTATGGACACAACAAAAGGAGCTGCCCCAAGAAACTAAGGCATGCAGATTCTACTCCTGCAAATGCTTCTTATAGAGAAAGATGTGGAGAAAGAGGCAGAGGAAGAGGAACAACTGCTCCTAGAGCTTCAACTTCAACTACTTCTGCCCATACTACTGCTGGCAGAGGAAGAGGAACTGGTAGAGGTAGAAGAAGTAATACAACTTCAGTTTCAACTACTTCTGCCCCTGGAATAGGAAGAGGAACTAGTAGAGGTAGTGGAAGAGGAACTAGAAGTTCTGGGTTTGGACAGTTTTAATCAAGTAGTGGGTTCACAAATTTTTCTGTAAGTACTTCAAACTTAACTTTGTGTCTTGTTTGGTTTAATTACTTTACTAAATATTTTCTGTTTTGGCAGTCTGGTGGAGGTAAACTAAGAGTGATTTCTCATGGTGGTGAAAAGAGGTCCTCAGCAGATATTCATGAATGTGCCTACAAGCCAACAAGTGGAGTAAAATAGAATGGTAGACCATCCATTACTAGAAGACAACTTGAAAGAACTGTTGCATCCCATTCCAGAACTGTTGCATCCCATTCCAATCTAAGTCAAGCAAGTTCATCATCCCAGCCATCTAAGAACAACTATATGTAGTTGTGTATTGAATGTTGTTATTGTGACTGTTAAGTTATTTTGGAACTATTGTTAGGTTATTTTGGAACTGTTGTTAAGTGGTATATTCAATGTTGTTATTTTGTTAAGGCAGACTGTTGTTATTTTGGTATGCTGTTAAGATGTCAAACTATATTTTTGTTAAGGCGAGCTCCTATTAGGTGACTGTAATGAACACCTTTACTCTATGATGATATGTGTTTTAAATTAAAAATTTCTGGGCAGATTCATCTCTTTAGTGTTACTACTTCAGTATTTTAGCATTTGAGCTGTATTTTAGCCAGCAATTTTATCCACTATTTAACTATGTAAGCAGTGTATTATTTGCATTTTCAGCTCACATAGCAACAACCACAAACCAAACAACATTAACAGTTACAAAAAATTTCATTCATTTCTAACAAAGGGATATAAAATCCACCAAAAAGCTTCATTCATTTTCTTACATTATATAACAATCTTTAGAACTACCAAACATAATCAACTTCAATATAATTACAATTAAAATTAGCACACACAATCTCCTCCAATTTTTTTGATTCCTATTTTCCTTCAATAATGCATCAAACGCCCTCTTCTTCTTAAGCAGCCCCAAAATCACAATTTTCAAGTGTTCTAGAGTTGGGGGATCAAACCACACAAAGAAATTACATGCCGAGCGACTGTCCCTCTCAAAATCGAAGATAAAAAATTATTAAGGAATATAAAATCGATTATAAAAGTACAATTGATATTTACCTCATAAAATATACATCCGTAAAATCGACGACCAGGATTATCAACACTCCATGACTGTATCACCACAGCTTCTTCACCACAATAACAAAATTTTCTCAGATTATACATTTCCCCTAACCCTAAAATTAAACCCTAGAAATAGAACCCTAATGTCAAAAACGAGAAGGAAGAAGTAGAAGAAGATTGTAATATTGGCAACAGAAAAACGCATAAGAAGATGTCAAGAAGAAGAAATTTTCTGCAACTTCGAGCTTTCAAGGAGGAGGATGAAGGTGAATACGGGTCCAATTTGAGAAGAAATGGGTTGATATCCCTTTTATTTGTTTAAAAATGACCGTTGGAATTTGTTTCTGGCCGTTGATTTAAGTCAGAAATTGTCTGCTTCTACTGTCCATGCGCTTCTACCGTTTTGTATTACACACGCTTAGACCTAATCAAAGGAGGTGTGTACTAGATACACTTTAGAAAGGTTGCGTGTGTAATATTATTATCGTCCATAGAAAGTGTGTAAGGGGGATTTGGGTCATAGGTCAGGTGGCAACTTATGTAGTTTGCCTAATATTTAATGTTTATTATAGTTGACCACAATAATTGTATATAAAAAAGAAATTGGGAGAATAGACAAAAATGTTAACCTTAATTAGATGTAGGATGCTGCATTATCTCGTACTAAAATATTTTTATATCTAATTGACTCGTGAATTTTATTACAACGTGCTTTAATCTAATGGCTTCTCCCATTCCTCACGGTCCCACCATCATTAACCCCGACCCCATTTCAGAAATCGACGTGTGTGATTTTATCAGAAATTAACATTTCTTAGAAACCCTTTAGTCGACTTTTTTATTTTATTTTAATATATATTATTAAATGATGCTCCATCTGTCCCAAATATTTGTCAAACTAAGCGTTCTTTGATTTCTTATATGCACTATTCACCTTTTCTAAATGAAGAAAAATTTAACTTACCTTTTTTCATTATAAGTTTCAGCATGCTTAAATTTTATCTGCAAAAAATAAAGGGAACCTTACAGAAATGTCTCAAATAAGTCATAATTTATCAACATTTAATCATTAATTATAGACTTACCAAAACTAGCTAAACATATATAAAAATTAAAAATTCAAATAAATACGGTTCTTTCTCTCCCAGAATCACACGCAAAGATCTCATTTCATATTTTTAAGCATGATTAGCAACAGTAGATGCAAAACTAAAGGAAATTTCATGGATGAGGTATCAAATAAGGTGATGAATACAAAAAATATATATACATGATTCTAAAAATCTAAGCAAAAAATGATTGTTTTCAATGGGTATGGTTAAAATTTATTGAAAACACATAGATGAGTCAATATACAATTTTGAGGAAGATTGAAGGTGGACTGATTTGGTATCAAAATTCATAGTTAAAATCGAGTTCAAAAATTTCTTCTGCGACTTATGTATCAAACATGCATCACACATGTATCTCACACACAGGTATATATGGATATACAAGTGATACACATTTAATACAAATATGATATATATGTGATACACAAATGATACACATATCTTTCTTTCTTTTTTTTCATGTTCATCTTTTACTTCGAATTTTCAATTCAAACTACCTCAAAACTCCATTAAACCATCCCAAACCTGAGATTCAAGCTCCTTAAGATGTACTCAATCTATTCAAATAACATCTACTCAAAAGAAAGCAAAACTTTGACATATTTTTGGTTGCAAATAGCTAATTGGCTAATATTAGTAATATTTTATGAATTTGTCAGTTTTTGTAATAAGCTACTTATAAATGGACATAGCTGGTAGTTTCCCAAAAATGAATTAATCTACGTTTGATTAACTTCCAAGTTAATTAATCAAATTGACTTTTAAAAAGGGAATTCCCAACAAATAAAGAAGGAAAGGACAAAAATTTGTTTTGGTTTCTTTTGTATTAGAATAGTGTGAAGAAGGTGGAGTAAAATTGTTGAGCAAGAAAAATTCAAGTGACATGATCATGTAATACCCTTGACTTAGACATTTTATGCATAGGGTTTGCCATGAAAATCATGTTTGGATATGGTTGAGTTAATGAAAAAACATGATCAGATCGAAAAGAAAAGAAAGTAAGTTAAAGAAGGATTGAAAACAAAAGGTCACACAGATCACAATCGAACTTCAAATAAGATATGTATATGATAGTAACGTGATTTGGTACTGTTTAAATGACTAATATGATAGGATGAGTATGTTATCTAAATACACATCGAGGGCGGATCCATAGTATTCGGTGTGGGTTCTCGAGAACCCAGTAACTCTTACCCGAGCCTTGTATTTGTATTGATAAATTTATTAAATGTATAAATATTTTTAATTTGGAACTCATAAGCAGAATCATGTGTTGGTCCAGTGGCAAACGAAGCAACCAGATTAAGCTAAGTTCCTAAATATTTGGCATAAGGTTCAAATACTAGATCCGCCTATCTATATTGATATTGATTAACATAACGAGTTAATTAATTGCTCTATGGCGTGAGTACAAGGAAACAGAAAATAATTCCGTTAGAAGGAAAAAAAGATCATAATTGATGCTGGAAACTAAAGCCGAGAAAGGAAAACCAGAGAGAGAGAGAGAGTTGGGTAAAGAATAATGTAATGAAAATAATTGCTAAAACATTGTTGACTTATATTATTAGGTTTATCCACCATGGGTATTATCGACAAATCAAACTTTGGTGGCCCCATATAAATACAGGAGTTGAAGGCCCTGTGTAGGACACACCACTCCTTAAATTGCCAAAGGCAAGTTTCTATTCATAATTGGTTCCTCACTCTTTGGAATACTAAGCTTTTCTCTTTTGTCCTGCTCTTCTTTCTCGGCCACTCTATTGGCACATAAATGTTGTGGTTAACAATCTGAACGTTTAAAAGAATTCCAAAGTATTTAGCAGGTAACATATCGTATTTTCTATATATGTAACTAATTTTACTTATTATGAATAGTTAGGTAACATTGTTTTACAACATATGCAGACATTGAAAGAAGATTTAAGGTATTGCTGGACGTGGTTGATTTAGTTAAGGTTGTTTTACTTGGAGGTCAACATGGCGGTTAAATGTGAATCATCAGCAATGCATGCTACCTCTAGCGGAGTACTTCAAGGGGATAATCCGCTGCATTATGCACTGCCTCTGGCGATTGTACAGATATGCTTGGTGCTTGTACTCACTCGAGTCCTCGCCTATATTCTCCGACCATTGAGACAACCGCGTGTTGTTGCTGAGATTATTGTAAGTCTCTCCTCTCTTTTGTTCTCTCTCATAACTAATTTTACGCTCTTCATCACTACAAAAGGAAAGGAAAAAAAAGGAGAGAGATATTGTCTCTCCTTCTTTTGGTCCTAAATAATGTTAAGTTTTTATTAAAACAATACTTTATCTATTTCATTTTATATGATACTCCATTTTTTTCTTTTTAATATGTTCTAAGAAGATTAATATTTTCTATATTTAATTTGGAAAAAGACCAAAATGATTTGCGTCCTATTATGACTACTTTGTTTGTTCAAAAGTCACATGAGACCAAGTCTTAATTCTCTAGTTAAAAGAAAGAAAAATACTCAAACTTAACTATAATGAGCAATTCTTAGCTCTACTTTTGGTGCTAAGTCTTGTTTAAAATACATCATACCGTTCAATTTTTAGTTCCACTCATTTACGTGCTGAGGCAAATAAGAGTGCTATTTCTATTAGGAGGGTTTAGTTTATTGGTTTCTTCTTTCAAGTGGAACTTATTTTGACAAATTAATTATTGTCGCCTCCAAGTTCAAAGGATAACTGGCGTAGAATGATTGGTATAACATTAATTCATGCATCCAAACTTTTCTTGTTAATAATATAAAGTCCACTTAAGCACACGTTCTCTATTATTATTATTATTATTATTATTATTATTATTATTATTGTTGTTGTTGTTTCTTTTCAAACGTAACTCGTGTAGGCTTTAACCTGGCTAATGCGAAGCAACTCTTAGGAAGATGTTGTTTAGAACATTAGATTTCATATATGAGATCATAATATCCAAACTAATTTAGTGATTGCCCCTCATGTTGACTTTAGAACAGGCACTTATAATTTGGTGAAGGAAATTATATAATAGTGTGATGCGAATCTTCAGGTTCCTCTCTGCATCCAATTGGAGAAATTATACGTTTAACTTAAAATGGAGGGAGTAGTTAAAGTTGGTGAACAGTTGTTCTGTCCTGCATCACTTTTGAATTTTGATCAGAGGTTGACGGAATGAAATGAATCAACTTAAAAACAATAAAACTATAAAAATTATACAAATTGCTTTCTGATTAATTTTCTGTGGAATGAGTATAACTAATTATTTCTTTCTTCCTTACTAATATATATACCGATAAACACATGTCGATTTTAGGAGTCAAGTTTTCTTATTAATAATATATGGTTTCGTGAAAATACTTCTCTGTGGTCGCAATATATTTGCTTCACCTGGAACATTACGTACTTTCCGGAGTTTAAAAGAATTTAAATTAAAATTTATAATCACGGGATTTAAAAGAATGTCATCGTATTATAAGTATACATTTTAAATTATTATTATTATTGTATACGTACACATATATAGTTCGACATATTTAATCGAACCCAAAGTTCCCTCCATAAGTCCGCCATTTTTCTGATGCCATTTTGGAAAAGGAGACAATTGAATTTTGTTTTGGCAGGGAGGAATTCTACTAGGTCCTTCTGCTCTCGGCCGCAACCAAAAGTATCTGAATGCGATATTTCCAAAAAGTAGCCTCACAGTATTGGATACATTGGCTAACCTTGGCCTCCTATTCTTTCTTTTTCTCGTTGGGACTGAGTTAGACCCAAGGTCTCTTCGTCGAACTGGAAAGAAAGCTCTAAGTATTGCTCTTGCTGGAATCACTCTTCCTTTCGTATTAGGAATTGGGACATCTTTTGCTCTCCGAGCCACAATTGCCGAAGGGGTTAATCAAGGCCCTTTTCTAGTTTTCATGGGAGTTGCTCTATCTATCACTGCCTTCCCCGTTTTGGCTCGTATTTTAGCTGAACTCAAGCTTTTGACGACCGATGTTGGTCGAATGGCGATGTCCGCTGCGGCGGTCAATGATGTGGCTGCGTGGATTCTACTCGCTCTTGCTATTGCACTTTCAGGTCAGAGGTGGATGTAGCTTTTTGTTTTTGTAGTTTCAACTGAACTCGGTATTTTAAAACGGAAAACTACTTAAATTTACGTAAATATTAAATTCTTAAGAATCATAAACTTTGAATATATCAAATTTAAATTTTAGATCCGCTTCTATTTCAGGTTCTGGTTCTCCCATAATTTCATTATGGGTCCTCTTATGTGGGACAGGATTTGTCCTGATTTGCATATTCACTGCACCTCTTATATTCAATTGGATGGCAAGGCAATGTTCTGAGGGAGAGCCAGTGAATGAGTTATATGTGTGCGCTACATTGGCAATTGTTTTGGCTGCAGGATTTGTGACTGATTCAATTGGTATTCATGCTCTATTTGGTGCTTTTGTGGTTGGGGTTCTTGTACCAAAAGAAGGGCCATTTGCAGGTGCTTTAGTGGAAAAAGTAGAGGATCTTGTGTCAGGACTATTCCTTCCTCTATACTTTGTGTCTAGTGGATTAAAAACAAATGTAGCCACTATTCAAGGAGCTCAATCTTGGGGTCTTCTTGTTCTAGTCATTGCTACCTCATGTTTTGGCAAGATTGTTGGTACTGTTTTTGTCTCTCTCATGTGCAAGTTGCCTCTTCAAGAATCCTTAACTCTTGGTTTCTTGATGAACACTAAAGGTTTAGTAGAACTCATTGTTCTTAACATTGGCAAAGATAAAGGGGTAAGCTTCATTTTAACTATTTCATAATCACGTGCTCTTATAGGCATAAAAACACCATGGCATTAATTTTGTATATAGTATTTCTTTCTGAACCATTTTGTTCGGTCAAACATCATCATATAAATGAAAGAAACAGATGGAATAGATTTTTGTTATATTTGACCTTTCAAGTTGCACGTAAAATAATATCGTGGCGTTAATTTTGTAGGTATTGAACGATCAAATATTTGCAATCATGGTGTTGATGGCTCTCTTCACAACATTCATGACAACCCCAATAGTTATAGCCATCTATAAACCAGCTAAAATGGCTGTAACAGAATACAAGCACAGAACAATAATGAGGAAAGACACAAGCAAGGCGCAACTCCGAATCTTGACATGTTTCCACGGCACAAGAAATATCCCCACTCTGATAAATCTCATCGAAGCCTCTCGAGGAACAGAGAAAAAAGAAGGGCTCCGCGTCTACGCGATGCACCTCTTGGAGCTTACTGAAAGATCCTCAGCAATTCTAATGGTTCACAAGGCCAGAAAGAACGGGCTTCCCTTTTGGAATAAAGGACAAGTAGGGGAATCGAACCAAGTCATTGTAGCATTTGAGACATTCGGACAACTCAGTAAGGTGTCAATTCGACCAACAACTGCAATCTCCGCTATGACAAGTATGCACGAGGACATAATTGCTAGCGCGGAGAGAAAAAGAGTTTCAATGATAATTTTACCGTTCCATAAACATCAGAGAATTGACGGACAATTTGAAACGACACGAGCTGATCTTAGACTTGTCAATCGAAGAGTTCTACAACACGCACCATGTTCTGTTAGCATATTAATTGACCGCGGGCTCGGCGGAGCATCTCATGTATCTGCTAGCGAAGTTGATTATTCGGTACTGGTTTTGTTCTTTGGGGGTCAAGATGACCGTGAAGCGCTCGCTTATGGAATGCGCATGGCGGAGCACCCTGGCATTACTTTAACCGTGGTCCGTTTTGTAACGGACCCTGAGGTTGTTGGGCCCACTGTCCACGTGGACATCATCGATGACTCTGGCCCCGAGGGCGAGTCAACAGATGAAGAGTTCCTCGCGGACATGAAACAAAAATCAACTGGTGACGGTTCTATCATTTTTGAGGAGAGCACAGTGAAAGATGCTACAGAAACTATAGAAGCAATTCGCGCGTATAAAAAGTGTAACCTGTTCCTAGTCGGGAGAATGTCTGAGGGTCAATTGGTTTCGGCATTTGATACAAAGACTGACTGTCCAGAACTGGGGCCTTTGGGAAACTTGTTAATTTCCCCTGAAATTTCAACTACGGCATCAGTTTTAGTGGTGCAGAAGTATCGTAGTGAGTTACCTCAAGATTCGCTCAACACTTTGAATGAAGGAGCTTCAGCTAAAGGAGATGATGATGAAACTGAAATTTAATAAATTTCTTGCACGTTATGAATAAGGAATTACTTACCAAATCGAAGAAGGTTATGTACATATGTTCATCTCGTTTTTCCTTCTCATGCAATTGTTGTAGCTTGCAACGCAAAGCTGTAAATTCCCAGGTTTCTATTAGAAGTCACATGAAGCATATGCAGTTACTATTAAACTTCTTGCCTCATGCAATATGATATTCGTAACTAATTTTGCTTTAAGAAAAGTTGATTTTGATTGTATGATCACTCCATACAATTAATTAACGTCTGTTTCCTGTTGTCTAAAAACAAACTTCCTTATCCTTTCATTATACAACAACACAGACTGTTGAACATATATATTGTTCCAACAGCTGAAGCTAAGCAAACATCTACCTTCTACTACAAACTTCTACATGAAGACCAATTGGTAAAAAAAATCTTATTTTACCAAAAAAATTAAAAAGTTACTACTGGTTTTACTTAACTAAGTAACTCAATGTAATTAACCAGTTTTTAATTCGTTTTAGCAAAATCAATTCATGTTCAACTAAGTAGTACTGTGACTTTCAAGCTCTTCTCTTGAATAGATAGTCATCGAACTACTACTACTACGACGAGGACGATTAAGTAAATTTAGAGAAAGGGAGCTTTATGTAAAACACATGACCTTCTTTACTTCAAATTTTATAATTCTATTTTATGATTTTTATCCATTTTACATTGTTTACCCTTAAAAATGGATAACAAATGAATTTGTACGCAGTTTTAAGGATATGTAAATTAATTCAATACAAGTGATTAATGATGTTAGATAAGCAAATAAAATATAGAATAAATAACCAAACCAACGATAACAGCAAGCCCGGGATTGGTTAAAGGCTTAACGAGAAGCTCGCCTTTGGTTCCGAACCAGTGTTTATGAAGAACTTATTAACCAAAGCAAGAACTTTGAACAATCCTTTAGAAACATAAAAAATAGGTGTATATTGCCTTGGTATCTGTGTTACACTTTCTCTAATGAATAATTAGTTTCCCCTTTATATAGTAGGGGAGTTTTATCCTAAGTACAATTCTAAAATAGGTAAAAATCTTCCTCTTCGCTAATCACTGATCTACCGCTGATACGGACCGAGATTCATGTCGTGATATCCGGTTAGACACGGATATCACGGTCCTTTATTAATCATGTGTGGTCGTTCGATAATGCTCCTTGAGGTCGTGGGACTCGAACCAGATCCGGGGGCATGGTCTCGATAGTTCCGAGGGCAGATGTTTTGCTCGGGCCTCGATGCAAAAGCCTCCTGGCTTCGATGCCGATTCCCTACAATCATTTCCTTGCTCCGTTTGCCTCATCGGTAAATCGAGGTACTCACCGGCCTCGGTTTTTATCCGTATACGTACATATTTCGGTAATCTAGACAAAATTGTTTTGTTTGCTTATTTTGTAGTTAATCAAGTTTCATTTCAAACTTAATAGTAACAGCAATTGTTATATTAAATGAATCATGTCATATGTTATATTAATGAATCATGTCATATAAAATCATTTGCTGAAAGCATCAATCTATTATGAAAAGCATCAATCTATTACTCCTAATTATAACTATAAGTTGACTCTACTAAGAAAGAAATAAAGTTAATAGGGAGTGGCCAACAAGTGCTAACCCGTGACAATTTAGTCCCCTTTTCCTCCTTAATTATTGCATACTTTGACTTCAAACTCCTTTTGATAACAATATTAGTACATATCATTCAGCAAATTTTATCTTTAATATATTTCCCAAACATTATACAAGACATAGTTGAACTTTTAACAAAGCCCAATAATGGAGACAAAGTCCACTCATATCATTTCCATAATATATTAGTTGCACAACAATATGTTCATCTCTCGAATCAATTACGTATTCTTTTTTTTGCCTTTTCAATACCAAATCCATATTAAAATAAGAAATACCCGTTTATGAAGGAGTTAAACCTGAGATATTTGCAAATAATAGATACAGATTCCATCAGACTACGATGCCATTGACAAATTCACTATATGTTCAATATCTGTTTATTTTAATAGTAGTCCTCAATAATTTCTATCGCTAGTACAAGTCATTATTAACACGTGTCTGACATTTTGCTCTATCATTTTCTGATATCTTTCACCGGCCAATTGCGACATAAAACCTTTCTAAATAGGCATTATTAGATAAAAAAGATGGTTTAATCGACAAGTGTTTATGAGGGTAACTTCACACCAGAAAAAGTAGTATACCAATTCAAAGAGAGTGATTTCTCTCTTTATAAGTATATAATATAAGTATATAATATATGATTAGACTTGGTAAATCAAATAACAGATCAGAGTACAAAGGGTTAAAAAGAAAGGGTCAATTAATCTTGTTGCGTGTTTGTTGATGGGTTTATTTGACATATTACATTGTGCTAATTTTTTTTTTGTGTGGTTGAAAATGGAAATATTATTGTATACGGTCGAAATCGAGTTCGTGGTGCATCCTAGCCTCCGACATGGTAAGCCAAGCTCGAGGCATGACAATAAAGGACCGAAGATCGACCCCTAGTCCCACCAGGCTGGAACACGGGGGCAGCAATGTAACGACCCGACTTGTCGTTTTAAGAATTAATGCCTCGTTCAGCGACTTAAGGTCTCGAGCAACTTAGTAATAAGTATTATGACCCGCTATATTTCGGAAGATTCGGAATTTTTAAAATAAACAATCCTTAATTAGAAGCTTAAATGGAAAGAGTTGACCGGAGAGTTGACTCTTGAGCAAACGACTCCGGAATAGAATTTTGATGATGTCAATAGCTTCGTATGGTGATTTTGGACTTAGAAGCGTATCCGAAAAATTATTTGGAAGTCCGTAGTAGAATTAGGCTTAAAATGCCAAAAGTTAAATTTTTGGGAAGTTTGACCGGGGAGTTGACTTTTTGATATCGAGGTCGGAATCTGATTCTGAAAATTGAAATAGGTCCATTATGTCATTTATCACTTGTGTGCAAAATTTGAAGTCATTTCGAATTGATTTGATGTATTTCAGCATGAGATATAGAATTTGAAAGTTCAAAGTTCATAGATTTTGATTTGAGGCGCGATTCGTCGTTTTGTTGTTGTTTGATGTGGTTTGAAGCCTCGACTAAGTTCGTATTGTATTTTGGGACATGTTGGTATAATTGGTTAAGGTCCCGAGGGTTTCGGGTGGATTTCGAAAGGTTAACGGAATGGATTCGGACAAAAAAGAGCTGCTGGAATTTTTCTGCTGCAGAAGCTGTTTTTGGACAGCAACTAATACAATCGCAGAGCCAATTTTGGAAGCTTATATCTCGAAATGTATAAGGAATATGAAAAGTTTCAAAACATGAGAGTTGTAGCTCTTTGATTCTAGTTTCTAGAATGTTAAACCACTAATTATTTGGACATTTGCACAGAAAGTTATGATGGATTGAATGAAAGCTGGTAGGGCAGTTTCGCCAAAAATTTTGCCAGAAATATTTTATGCGTGGAACCGACTTTGGAATCTTATATCTCGCAATTCATAAGGAATCAGAAAATTATCAAAACATGAAAGTTAAAGTATTTTAATTCTAGTTTCCAGAAAGTTAAACCATTCATCATTTGGACATTTGTACATAAAGTTATGATCGATTGAAAGAAGGCTAGTGCAAGCAAGTTCTGGTGTGGACTTTTAGTGACGGAAAATGGACTTTTAGTGACGGATAGGCAGAAATTTAAGGACAAAAAATGGTCATTTCCTTCATTTCGTTTTGGATTTTTGGAGCACGGTTCCTGGGCGATTTTCACGGGAAAATATTGGGATTTTTGGAGCACGGTTCCTGGAGCACGGTTATCCTATATTGATTATATTTCATGATTTCATACTCATTTACATCATGAATCCGTGAATTTATAGAAGAAAAATCAAGATTTTCACAAAATCTTTCAAAAACGAAAATTTGAGATTTTGAGGTCGAGTTGTTATCGGATTTGATAAAATTGGTATGAGTGGACTCGTAATTGAATGGGTTGTCGGATTTTGTGAGTTTCGTCGGATTCCGAGACGTGGGCCCCACAGACGATTTTTGAGTTAAATTTCGGATTTTGTTAAAAAATTAGTATTTTCATATGAAATTAATTCCTATAATTAGTATTGACTAAATTGAATTAATTTGAATAGATTTGAGCTGTCCGGAGGATTTATTCAAGCAAGGCGGCTATTTTGAAATATCGGCATAACTTCAAAAAGGTAAGTATCTTGCCTAACCTTGAGTGGAAAAAATTACCCCTTAGGCATTGAGTCTTATGTGAAAATTGTGTAATTGAAAACCATGTACGCGAGGTGGCGAGTACGTACTTGGTTTATATGTGTATATTATATCGGTTGAAATTCGTAGACTCCCTTAAGTATTAAATTGAAAAATTATTGTAACTTATTAAATCCCTTATTTGTCATGCCTCATTCCTTGTTTGCCAAGGTTATTTTTATATGATAATTTGGTGTGATTGTCACTTGACTTTTACGTGAACTCTATGTTTGTTTGAGTTGCCATTTTTATGGAAAACACTTTCATTATTGATTTTACCTATAGATAATTTAAATGAAAATTTTAGTTAATAAGATGAATAAATATATTTATTTCTTGAAGTTGTGATGTAAAAGAGGTGTTGTTCCTTGATGAATTACTTTTCAATTCACGTTGTTAAAAATTTGATATTGAATTAAAAAGGTCGTTAATCATATTGAGGCAAAGTGCCAAATTGTGAAATATTATTCGGTTGAGTTGTTCACTCCCGAATATTTTATTATGATGTTGTACACATAATGATCGAGTCATGGACTCCTTATTGTGAAAAAATAATGTATTGTTGATTTCTGTGGAAAGAGCACTTGATGTGCAATTTGTGATATGTTGTAAGATTTGAGCACTTGATGTGCAATTTGTGATATGTTGTAATATTTGAGCACTTGATGTGCAATTTGTGATGTGTTGTAATATTTGGGCACTTGAGGTGCAAGTTGTATTATGCTTTGATATTTGGGCACTTGAGGTGCGATTTGTGAAATATTGTGATATTGATACGTATGCGGTGAGATAAGGGTGGCTTGAAATGCGTGGCTAGTAGGGAAACTACTAGAAGTCATGCGGTGATATAAGGTCAGGGTGTTGAAACGCATGCGGT